AGTTGGTTGCCTCCCCAGTGCACCCGAGGCTCTACTTGCAACCCAGGTACGTGCTCTGGACCAGGAATCAAACTTGCGACCCTTCCGTGTGCGGCTGGACGCTCTAACCACTGAACAACACCAGCCAGAGCAGGCTTGCTGTGTTGTTGTTTTTTTTATGTCACATGTATCTCTCTAGTCATGAGTACAAAGGAAAAAGAAAGTGGCTTATGATAAATGAACAAAAAAAAATATGTACCCTCATCACTGGGAATTTTCACCTGGTTCATATTTGAAAATGAAATGAAAACTTTAGTGAGAACAAAAAAAGGAATACTGTCGCCCTGGCTAGGTGCTTCGGTCTGTCGGAGTGTCATCCCGTACACCAAAAAAAGTTACTGGTTCGTTTCCTGCTCAGGGCACAAGGTTGTGGGTTCAGTCCCCAGATGGAGCATGAGAGGCAAGCTTTCTGTTTCTCTCTGCCTTTCCCTCTCTCTTCCACTCTCTCTAAAATCAATGGAAAATACCTTCAGATAAGATTTCAAAAAGAATGCAATTAGAATTTTTTTAAAAATATATATTTTATTGAGTTTTTACAGAGAGGAAGAGAGAGGGATAAAGAGCTAGAAACATCGATGAGAGAGAAACATCGACCAGCTGCCTCCTGCACACCCCCCACCAGGGATGTTCCTGCAACCAAGGTACATGCCCTTGACCGGAATCGAACCTGGGACTTTGCAGACACTCTATCCACTGAGCCAAACCGGTTTCTGCTTGGCTAGAAATTTTGAATAGTTGTCTTTGCCCTCAATGCTACCAATATTGTCTTTAACGAAGCAGAGAGAGGCATGAAAGAACACAGCTGAGAAACAGCCAAACAGGACTCGGGGTCGGTCGAGACTCCAGGGCACACTCATCTTTTTGCCAGATTTAAACCACGCAGCATACCATGCACCCATTCAAAGTGTACGGTTCTGAGGAGTTGAGTATATCTGCAGAGTTACGCAGCCATCACCACAGTCTAATTTTAGGACATTTAATCTCCCAGAAAGAAACCTCATCCCTCAGCAGTCACGCCTGTTTCCCCTCCTCATTCATTCTTTTTCTTTTTTTGGTACCAAAACCTGTGAAAGAACCACCCATTCATACTTTATCCTCAGGCAACCAACCACGAGTCGGCTTTCTGTCTCTCTGAATTTGCCTGTTCTGGATATTCCATATAAATGAAATCATACACTGTGTGGCCTTTTGTGACTGGTGTCTTTTTGTTGTAGTTGTTATTGTTGTTAATCCTTACCCGAGAATATTTTCCCCCTACTGGTCTTCAGAAAGTGGAAGGAAGGGAGGGAGAGAGGGAGAGTTAGGGTTAGTCGAGCCCACGCTCTAACCACTGAGCACTCCAATCGGGGCATGACTAGTATCTTTTCCTGAGCATCATATTTCAAAATAAACCACTGTTGCCGAGACCGGTGTGGCTCAGTGGATAGAGCGTCAGCCTGCGGACTGAAGGGTCCCAGGTTCGATTCTGGTCAAGGGCATGTACCTTGGTTGCGGGCACATCCCCAGAAAGGGGTGTGCAGGAGGCAGCTGATCGATGTTTCTCTCTCATCTGTGTTTCTAACTATCTCTCTCCCTTCCTTTCTGTAAAAAAAAAAATCAATAAAATATATTTTAAAAAATTCACCACCGTTGTAGCACAAGTCAGCAATATATTCCTTTTTATGGCAAACGATACTCTATTGTGCCACGTGACAATCTGTGGGACTACATGTTGGTTATCTAGTAATTAATGGGGGGCATTTGGGATGTTTTTTAATTTTGGGCTCTTGCCAGTTCTGCTGCTGTAGGCTTTTGTGCGGCCACGTGTTTTCAGTTGTCCTGGTTGGATACCTAGGAGTGGGACTGCTGGATTGCATGTAACTCCATGCTTAGCGGCACCTGTGTGCTTAGAAAAGCACAGGATTCACTCAGTCAATGAAAATGTATTAAGCAGCGCCTGTGGGCACTGTTGCATGTGCCAGGAATACAGCAACAGACAGACAAGCAGGTCACCGCCTAGGCAGGTGGCTCAGTTGGTTACAGCATCGTCTGGATACGCCAAAGTTGCAAATTCCTTTGCAGGTCAGGGCACATACAAGAAGCAACCAATGAATCATAAGTAGAACAACAGATCGAGGTTCCTCTCTCTTCCTCTCTCTCTCAAGTCAATACAAAAATGCAAATAAATAAGCAAGCAGGTCGTATGGAGGAAAGGGGCATCTGGAGGAAAAAATAAGACGGGGTGTATGAGGTGGGGTACAAGCCTGAGAAAGCCTCACTCAGGAGGTGACATTTGGCTGAAACCGGTTTGACTCAGTGGACTTAGGGACTGAAGGGTCCAAGGTTCGATTCCGGTCAAGGGCATGTACGTTGGTTGTGGGCATATCCCCAGTAGGGGGGGTGTAAGAGGCAGCTGATCGATGACTCTCATCGATGTTTCTAACTTTTTTTTTTTAATAAATTTTATTGATTTTGTACAGAGAGGAAGGGAGAGAGATAGCGAGTTAGAAACATCGATGAGAGAGAGTCATCGATCAGCTGCCTCTTGCACACCCCCTACTGGAGATGTGCCTGCAACCAAGGTACATGCCCTTGACCAGAATCGAACCCGGGACCCTTCAGTCCCCAAGCCGACGCTCTATCCATTGAGCCAAACCAGTTTCTGCCGATGTTTCTAACTTTCTATCTCTCTCCCTTCCTCTCTATACAAAATCAATAAAACATATTGAAAGAAAGAAAGAAAGAAAGAAAGAAAGAAAGAAAGAAAGGAAGGAAGGAAGGAAGGAAGGAAGGAAGGAAGGAAGGAAGGAAGGAAGGAAGGAAGGAAGAAAGAAAGAAAGAAAGAAAGAAAGAAAGAAAGAAAGAAAGAAAGAAAAGAAGGTGACATTTGAGCAAAGGCCTGAAGGAGGGCAAGCTGTGAGCCAGGCAGAGTGTCAGGGTGGCCACGCCAGGTGGGGGAACAGAGTGCAAAGACCCAGAGGTGGGAATGAATGGAATGGGTGTATTTGAAGAACACGGAGGAGGGGGAGAGGGGAGTGAGATGAGGGCAGGAGGTGATGTCCCACAGGTTGTTTAGGATCAAATGGGCTTATCTGAGCATCCGGAGACTGCTGCTGGCATTCCGGGAGCAGAGGCAGCCCCAGCCCAGACCAGGAGAAGATCCCTCCACCCCACTCCCCCCTCCCCACTGCCAAGAGCAGAACCTTCTGCCCTCCAGCTTCATGAGGTCCTAGCATGGTGACCAGATTTTAACATTGGTAAAGCGGGACACCATTGAACTGGGGGAGGGGGGGTCTTGATAAAAAATTTGGTCTATATGAAGCAACAAAAATTTTCATAGAACGCAAAAAATAGTATTGTAATATATATTTTTTAAATTTCAACATAAGTACAATTTACAAATATAATAAATAAATAAAATTTATGTATAGTATTATTTTATTATTTGGCATATTTCTCATTTGAGTGAATTTTTTTAGTAGATTGCTGTCGTTTAAAAGGTCATGAAAATTTTCACAAGAATTTGTTAAATTATATTTCACACATAAAATGGCTTTCAAACTCTCAACACTTAATTGTGATTTTTCTGGTGTCCACACTTTATATTTACCATAGAAAAAACGCGTTCAGACACAGCATTAGTTCCTGGTAAGGACAGCGCGTATTCCACAATTCTAACAACTGATCAACAATGCGAACTTTGATAAGCAGTTCTCGATAATCAGTTCTCAGCAATTATGTGTTATTATTAAAGTTTAACATTATAAAATTAACAAAAATAATATAAAACTCATATCCTGGCTAAATAGCCACATGGCCGCCGAAAACCGTATATTCCCTTCCTGTTCTCCAGCCGTTCCCTAGCTTGTCCTGCATTCTTTCCAAAAATCGGAACTTTTTTAAAACGCGGAGGGACGCGGGTCAAATTGTTAAAAATAGGGACTGTCCCGCCAAAAGCGGGACGTCTGGTCACCTTATCCTAGCAGCCTTCCTGTCGCACCACCTTTTCCCAAATGCTTCAAGCCCAGTCCCTCACCCCAGCCCCAGCCTGACCGGCCTCTTAGGGCCGCACAGCATCCCAGCCTCCCGGTCCCGGACATGGTCCGTGTCCTCACTGCCCAGGAGGGAGCGCAGCTTCTGCCGGGTCTCAGGGCAGGACAAGGCCCGGAGGCGTTTATCCGGGGCCCCAAATCCCGTCAATAAACCGGTGAAACTTCCCCACCGGGTCTGCAGGATGCTAAGAGCTTGGTGCGCCTCGCCCTGAGGCAAGGGGCTGCCCAGATGGTCCTTAACCCCTTCCTTAGCAACCTGCCCCCGTCCCCATGGCAACGGGGGCGGGGCCGCAGCCGGTCGGGCCGGAGCGGGGGATCTGTCCCTCAGCGGAGGAGGAGGAGTCGGCGCCGTGCCTACTGGCCCTTTAAGAGGCTCCGCCGGGCGAGGCCTCACGGCGCCCTGATTAGCCCCGGAGCGGCCGAGCGCAGCCCAACTTGACGCACCGCCCGCAGCCGCCCTCTCCACCTCCCACGCGGCTCAGTGACCAATCGCGGGCCGGCGCGCCGACCCTCATCTGCATGGCCACGCCCCAGGGAAAGGGCGCGACCCAATCGGGCCGCGCGCGGAGGCCGCCGTCGGCTTGCCGGGGGCGGGGCGGGCGGCGGGGGCGGGCTCCGGGCGGTTGGTTGGCGCGGCGCCGCCGCCGAGGGGTCCGGGAAAGTTTCTTCGGAGGTGAAAACAGCTGCGGAACTCCGGGCCCCGCGAGGGCCGGCGGGCGGGGGTCTCGGGGCGGGGGCGGGGCTGCTTGCCGGCCAGGGGGGAGGGCCAGGGCCGCGCGGGGGCCGATCGCCCAACAAAGGGTCCCTGGGGCGCCCGCCCCGGAGGCCTTGCCAGCCCGGGGATCCGGCCCCCCCAGTGCTGCGGGCCCGGCGGCGTCGGTGGCTCGGGCGCCCCTCACTCCGCCGCGCGTCTGCGTTCCAGGTGCGGCCATGTCCCACGGCCCGAAGCAGCCCGGCGCGGCCGTCGCGTGAGTGCGGCTCCCCTTCCGCAGCCCCCGGGGCGCCGCTCAGCCCCGCCCCCCTTGTTGGGGCGCCTCGACCCGGCCCCAGGGTCTTGACTCCCCGCCACCCGGGAGGTCCCTCCCTTAGTGCCCCCGCCGGCTTCTCCCCACGTCCGGGCTCCAGGCTCTCCCAGGGGTCCCCACTGACCCCCTAACAGGGATCGGGTCCCTTCGCCGCTGCCCTGTCTGCCGTCGGGGGGATGAATGGGAGGGACCCTGGAGTCCTGTGGCTTAAGCCTCTCCCGGGGGTCCTTACTGGCTCCTGATCCGACCTCCGGACCCCGCCCCCGCCCCTAGAGACTCCTGCCCCCAGGACTCGGGCCCCCTCTCTGCCAGCCCCACCGACGGGCTGGGGATGGGGGTGACTGGCCTTCCCGTGACTCCAGGCCGGCGGGCGGCAAGGCTCCTGCACAGCATGGGGGCTTCGTGGTGGCTGTCAAGCAAGAGCGCGGCGAGGGCCCGCGAGCCAGTGAGAAGGGGTCCCACGAGGAGGAGGTGAGAGCCCCCGAATGGTGGTGGGGGAGGCTCTGGGTCTCCGAGCCTCCCCTCAGACTAGATTTGAACTCGCTGTGGCTCCGCCCGCTGCCCAGATGTCCCTCTGCAGGTTGAGACCCCGCCCCATCAGATGCCACTCTAAGCCCGGGCCCCGCCCGCTGCCTGCCTCCCCAGGGGAAGCACCTTCTGGTGGTCCTGTGGGTCCCTCCTCCGGTGCAAGCCACGTCTGTACTGCAGAGGCCACACCCACAACAAACCAGCCTGTCCCAGCACCTCTGACAGCCCCCACTTCTATCGGGGTTCCTCGAACCCCCTTCACAATCCTCTCCCCTGACCTGGCCACTCCTCCAGGCCTCTGGGTTCTCCCTGCTGGCTGGCTACCTCACCTCTAGCCTCGCCCACGGCTCCGCCCCGTCCCCCGCTCCCCCCCCCCCAACGGCACTGCCGGTTCCGCAGCCTGTGAAGAAGCGCGGCTGGCCCAAGGGAAAGAAGCGAAAGAAGATCCTGCCCAATGGCCCCAAAGCACCTGTCACCGGCTACGTGCGCTTCCTGAATGAGCGGCGAGAGCAGATCCGCACGCGCCACCCGGACCTGCCCTTCCCTGAGATCACCAAGATGCTGGGTGCCGAGTGGAGCAAGCTGCAGCCCACAGAGAAGCAGGTGGACGGCAGGGGGCGGCAGAGGGGGCCAGCCCGGGCCACTGATCTCCCCCTACCCATTCAGGCCCCGCAGCCATATCCCGAAAGGTGTGGAGGGTTCTTCCTCCTGGAGAGCTGACCGCCCATGAGGCCTCCCCGGTTTATTGGGGGAAGAGGGGGAGGTAGCAAGAGGGGAGACTAGACATAAAACTTAACCAGTGTGGTCACCCAACGTCTAAAAGAAATAGGGGCGAGAGCTAGATTGTTATGTGACATCCAATTTTCAAATCCTAGTAACTTAAAAACTGCATAAACATCAAGAAAAGGCAACAAAACCCATCACTGGCTTGTACCCTCACACGTGGGATTTCAACAGGTGGAAAGGGTGCTGGAGGGCAGCCTGTAGTCAGACACCTCAGCGTGGTGTGTAACGGCCGGTGATGCAGTGGGAAGCTAGGAGGTACCTGGGCGGCAGGCTAGGGGCCGGTTGTTTGGAGGGTAATAGGCGCTCTGGGAATGCCCAGCACCCCGAGACGAGTGGCTGAAATGGGGCCTGGCCTGGGAGGCCTCCTCCGCCCTGGGGCCGGCTCAAGCCTTCTCCTGCTGCCCTGCCAGCGGTACCTGGACGAGGCCGAGCGGGAGAAGCAGCAGTACATGAAGGAGCTGCGAGCTTACCAGCAGTCGGAAGCCTACAAGATGTGCACCGAGAAGATCCAGGAAAAGAAGATCAAGAAAGGTGAGGAGCCGAAACCGGGTTGGCTCAATGGATAGAGCGTTGGCTTGGGGACTGAAAGGTCCCGGGTTCGATTCCGGTCAAGGGCATGTACCTTGGTTGCGGGCACATCCCCAGTAGGGGGTGTGCAGGAGGCAGCTGATCAATGACTCTCATCGATGTTTCTAACTCTCTCTCTCCCTTCCTCTCTGAAAAAAATCAATAAAATATATTTTAAAATAAAATTTAAAAAAAGGTGAGGAGAGCCCCAGACCCCGGCAGCTGGGTGCCTGCTCGGAGGGGTGAGCCTGGAGACCCCGCACCTCCAGGGGGTTCACCTGGGAGGCAGAGGAGGCGGGCGTTCCAGGCGGTCAGAGGAGATTGGGGAGGCTGACCCTGCCCTCCTCCTTCCCCTGCCAGAGGACTCGGGCTCCGGGCTCATGAATACCCTCTTGAATGGACACAAGGTAAGAAGCGCCCCTGGCTGAGAAAGGTCTGGAAGCCTTTAGGCCCCTGTGTGAGGCCCCAGTGAGCTCGCACCAAGGCTCATGGGAAGTGAATGGCCGGTCCATCCTGTGTAAGTAGGGCGTCACCCCCTGGGAATGTTAAACAGGCTCGGACCTCAGTGGCTCCAGGAGATTGCCCCCCCCCCCCCCCCCCCCGCCCAGGGGGATGTCCCAAGAGCATCTGGATGCCCCTCAACATAAACATTGCCCCTTGTCTGTGCCAGGGTGGGGACTGCGATGGCTTCTCCACCTTTGATGTCCCCATTTTCACTGAAGAGTTCTTGGACCAAAACAAAGGTGAGCACAACTGGGGTTCTTGGGGGAACAGGTGTTGGGAGAGAGACCAAAAGAGGGCTCCGCGGCAGGAGGGAGGGAGGGAGGGGAGTATTTACCCTAAAGCCAAGCCATCTTCCTCGCCTGTCCCGCAGGCCCGGAGCTAAAGGACGGGGCTGTGGGCAGAGCCGTGCCTTAAGGCCTGGTGCAGGCACAGCCCGCGCAAAAGCCTGGCAGAGGGTGGGGGGCGGAAGTGCCCGCGCTGACCCGGCTCCCGCTGCAGCTCGGGAGGCGGAGCTGCGGCGCCTGCGGAAGATGAACGTGGCCTTCGAGGAGCAGAACGCGGTGCTGCAGAGGCACACGCAGAACATGAGCAGCGCGCGCGAGCGGCTGGAGCAGGAGCTGGCGCTGGAGGAGCGGCGGACGCTGGCGCTGCAGCAGCAGCTCCAGGCGGTGCGCCAGGCGCTCACCGCCAGCTTCGCCTCGCTGCCCGTCCCCGGTGCGAGGCCCGCCCCGCCCGCCGGAGTCCTGTCCCCGCCACCCCGCCCCACCCCAAACCCCACCGGGTCACCACCAGTCATGTCCCCGGTGTCTCCGGCTCCTTTCCCAGCCCTCCTTACCCCACGGCCCCGCTCCATATGACCACCTCCCTGCCCCAAACATTGCCCGCACCCGCCACTCCGCACCCCAATCCCGGTCCCAAGCCGCCCCGACCACCCCCGCTCCACGGACCGTCCGCAGCTGCTGTCGGCGCTGCTGCTCCGCCCTCCCGACCCATGCCCATGCCAGCCCCTCTCTCACTGACCCCATCCGTCCCGCCTTTAGTTGTCTTTGGCTGATTTTGACTAATTTTCTCTCCCCGAGTAGACCCCCATACCTCCCACCACAACCTGTCCCTAGCCAACACCTTCTGACCTGCCTTCTCACAGCTGACCTTGACTCTCAGGTCCAGGCGCCCCGACCCCCCTCACTCGACCCCCACGGACACGCGCCAAGGACCCCCTCCCCAGGACGCCTCCCTTACAGGCCCCAATCTATGGCGGGGTTCCCTGGAGCCCCAGCCACAGCTCCTCCAACGCTGGGCTCGGCTGACCCGTCCCCCGCCCCCAGGCACCGGCGAGACGCCCACGCTCAGCACGCTGGACTTCTACATGACGCAGCTGCACGGCGCCATCGAGCGCGACCCGGCCCAGCACGAGAAGCTCGTGGTCCGCATCAAGGAGATCCTGGCCCAGGTGGCCAGGTGTGTGCCGGCCTGCCGCTGGCTCAGCCCCCGTGGGGTGGCCCTGAACGCGGGACTGCTCAGGCTAGACCTACCTTGGCCTGCATTTCACTTCGGTGGGGTTCTGGAAACCCCTGGGCGCCGCGGGGCGGGACCAGCAGCCGGACCTTGTTCTGAGGGTCCCGCCCGCTTGGCATTTACCAGGTGGGACTTATTCGGTGCTCGGGGCAGGAGCCTAATGGCGGAGCCTCCAGCGCAGAGGTGCTGTGTTAATGATGCTGGTGGGATCGATCCGCCAGCCCCCCTGGGCCAGCTGGTCTCACTTAGGGGGGCTAGCCTTTCTCCAAAGCTTCTTGGCAATTTTTTAATATTTTTTAAAAAATAAATTTTATTGATTTTTTTACAGAGAGGAAGGGAGAGAGAGAGAGAGCTAGAAACGTCGATGAGAGAGAAACATCGACCAGCTGCCTCCTGCACACTCCCTACTGGGGATGTGCCCGCAACCCAGGTACATGCCCTTGACCAGAATCGAACCTGGGACCTTTCAGTCCGCAGACCCACGCTCTACCACTGAGCCAAACCGGTTTCGGCTTAAAATTTTTTAAAAAATATATTTTATTGATTTTTTACAGAGAGGAAGGGAGAGGGATAGAGAGAGTTAGAAACATCTATGAGAGAGAGAGTCATCGCTCAGCTGCCTCTTGCACACCCCCTAGTGGGGATATGCCCGCAACCAAGGTACATGCCCTTGATCAGAATCGAACCCGGGACCTTTCAGTCCGCAGACCGATGCTCTACCACTGAGCCAAACCGGTTTCGGCGCTTCTTGGCAATTTATTCTGGGTGTTTCCTGGCACCCCGGGTTAGATGGGGTCAACTCCAGGCCCCTACCCTGCTCTGTTTGGAGTTGCTTAAGGGAGGGGCCCCTGGTGTCCCCTAGGATGGTGGTGGGGCCTGAGATGACGAGTCCCCGGTCATGACGCCCCCCCTCTCTCCTGTTGCAGTGAGCACCTATGAAGGTGTCGGTCAGCTCGTGGGGACCCAGAGAAGACCAAGCTCTGCCCTGCCCCCCCCCCCCCCATGGAGGAGGGATGGGGCCACCTTTTGGGGCCAGGCCCAATCCTGCACCTTGGGAGCTCAGCTCCCTGACATTATTCTACACCACCCCTGGCTTTCAACTTCCCCAGTACCCCAAATCCAACATGCACAACACACAGAACCCCATGGCCTCATAAAGCATGTCATACTACAGGGATGTGGGAACCCCACACATGGGCAGCATGACCCAGGACACAAGGGGACCAACAGCAACTCAACACTGGTGAGGGAGGGTGACACTGGCTCCAGTGGCTCTAGGGATCTGCCCCAGCACACAGGGCAGTGGAAACCCATACCCGACACAGGGAGGGACTCCCCGAAGGTGCTGACCACAGTGCCCCCCACAAGCAGGCACTCCTGCTTGTGAGAGCCTTCTGCCCGTGGCCCTCGACTTCCTGCACCTCGGAATGGAGTAACATACTGATCCCCTGCCCTCCAGCTAACGGACCACCGTCATGAAGGTGGCCCCTTTGCCACTGCTTAATCTGGACTTTTAAATTAAACAAATAAAATAAAGTAGAATTTGAATTTCAAGTTTGTGTGTGTGTGTTGTTTTTTAAAATATATTTTATTGATTTTTTACAGAGAGAAAGGGAGAGGGATAGAGAGTTACAAACATGGATGAGAGAGAAACATCAATCAGCTGCCTCCTGCACCCCCCCTACTGGGGATGTGCCCGCAACCCAGGTACATGTCCTTGACCAGAATCGAACCTGGGACCCGCAGTTTGTGGACCACGGACTTAGAGCCAAACCAGTTAGGGCTCTTGTGTGTTTTTGTAGGGGTTGAGCCAGAAGATGTGCTCAGGACTGCCCAAGATGCTCCCACGCCTGCCCTCCCCAAACCCCTGGCAACCAGGAATCTACTTTCTGTCTCTGCATTGGCCTGTTCTGGACATTCCACATGGGGTCACACACTCTGACCTTTTGTGTCTGGCTTCTCTCACAGCTGTTTTTTCAGGCCCATTCACATTATAGCAAGTGTCAGTGCTTCCCTCCTTTTCTGACTGAGTAATATTCCAGTGGATGGATGGACATTTGAGCTTGGCCATTGTGAATTGTGCTGCTGTGAACACATTCAGCATTCATGTACAGGTTTTCATTTAAGTACCTGTTTTCAATTCTCTTGGGTCCATCACCAGGAGTGAAATTGCTGGGTCATATAGTAATTTTATGCTTAACTTATTGAGGAAACTCTGAGACTTCAGGGTTAATGGAATATTTAAAACATTCTAGCCCTAGCTGGTTTGGCTCAGTGGATAGAGCATGGGCCTGTGGACTAAAAGGTCCTGGTTCCTGATTCTGGTCAGGGCGAACCAACCCAGATTGTGGGCTAGATCCCCAGTAGGGGGCGTGCAGGAGGCAGCCAATCAATGATTCTCACCATTGATTTTTCTATCCCTCCCCCTTCCTCTCTGAAATCAATAAAAGTAAACAAAACATGCTAAAACTTTTGGAGACTCATTTGACCAACACCCATGCTACGGATTGAATTACGTCCCCTGAAAAGATATGTCGAAGTCCTTACCCCAGGGCCTCAGAATGTGACTTTATTTGGAAATGGGGTCAGTGGAGATGTAATTAATTAAAAGATGAGATCATGCTGGAGTAGAGTGGGCCTGATCTGGAGTGACTGGTGTCCTTATAAGAGGATGAAAATGTAGACACAGACACAGAAAGGAGACAGCTATGTGATGACAAAGGCAGACATCGGAATACCGCACGCAGGCTGCTGAGGAATGCTGGGATTGCTGGCCACCACCAGAAGTTAGGAGAGGCAAGGAGGGATCCTGCCAGGGTCTGGGGGCGCCAATAACTTGATTTTGGACTTCTGGCCTCTGGGACTGTAAATAATAAATCTGTTTTAAGCCACCAGTTTGTGGTACTCTGTTGTGACAATCCTTGGAGACTGATACAACTGGATATTGTCAACTCACCTCCCAGGTATGAGGAATCTCCATCCCAAATTTGGAGTTTCATTCCTGGGCAGGTCTTTTACATCCTTTTAGCACATGAGTGTGTCTTCTTGAAAGAGTGCCATGTGGATCGTTTTGCGTTTCTTTTCATTTTTTTAAAGGTTTTAATGTGTACAATTCTGTGGTTTCCAGTGTACTCACAAAGTTGTGCAACCGCTGGCACAATCTAATTCCAGAACATTCCATCACTCCAAAAAGAAGCCCTGTTGCGCTAAGTCCGTGGTCCACAAACTGCGGCTCGCGAGCCACATGCGGCTCTTTGGCCCCTTGAGTGTGGCTCTTCCACAAAATACCACGGCCTGGGCGAGTCTGTTTTGAAGAAGAGGCGTTAGAAGAAGTTTAGGTTGAAAAAATGTGACTCTCCAAAGAAATTTCAATCGTTGTACAGTTGATATTTGGCTCTGTTGAAGAATGAGTTTGCGACCACTGCGCTAAGCAGTCTCCCCCAGTCCCTCTCTCAGGAATCCACACCCTGTCGCTGAGCATGTGCCTGTTCTGGACATTTCACATACATAGAACCACACATGTGTGCCTTGTGTGTCTGGCTCATCCATGTTGCGGTGTGTGTCATGTTTTGTAGGCTTTAAATATTCACGTACATTTTCTTACATCACCCAAAGCCTTTCCCATCAATGTCCGGATTCGGAGTTTCCTCCAAGGTGGGAGGCCCCTCTTGTTCACCGGGTATAGCATTCCACCGCTGCTCACTGAGCCAGACTTCCTGATGGCCGAGTTCTATTCTCAGGGGATTCTTACCGAGGCCTCCTGGTGCTGGAGCCTCCTTCTTCCTCTGTAACCTGGGGTTCATTTATTCCCTCATCAAATATTGCCCGAGGGCCTGGACCTTCGTGCCTGGCCCGGGCCCCCTTATACAGGAGAACAAGAGACCAGAACCCCTGCCCTCCTGGAGCTGCAGTTGGGAAGACAGGACACAGAAGGATAAGTAAAAATCATCTGGTTTGCTAAAGCCGGTTTGGCTCAGTGGTAGAGCATCGGTCTGCGGACTGAAAGGTCCCAGGTTCGATTCCGGTCAAGGGCATGTACCTTGGTTGCGGGCACATCCCTGGTAGGGGGTGTGCAAGAGGCAGCTGGTCAATGTTTCTCTCTCATCAATGTTTCTAGCTCTCTATCTCTCTCCCTCTCTGTAAAAAGATCAATAAAATATATATTTTTAAAAATCACAGTGATGCCCAGTGCTGGGGAGAAAGAGAAAGCTGGGAAGACAAATCGAGGTAGCTAGAGGAGGTGACATTTGAGCAAAGAGCGGAAGGTAGTGAGGGAAGGAACCACTTGGAGATGGTATAGGGGCAGAGGGTATAGCACAAGCAAAGGCCCTGGGGCAGGACTGTGCCCTCCTGGGGAGTCCAGGAACAGCTGAAGCCCTCCTGAGCGAGGAGAGAGTGAGGACAGGGATGGAATGGGGGCAGGTCGTGCGAGGCCCACGTTTGCCGTGAAGGAGGAGGGAGCTCCGAAGGGTGGTAGGCAGAAGGACAGATGGGTTTCAGGTTATACCAGGGTGACCTTACTTCCACCTCCCAGGGCTGTTGCAAGGATTAAAGGAGGGCTTGCAGAGTGAGCTCTCGGCGCGTTCCGAGGTCCCACTCCCTTTTTGTGATCCGTTTTTCCCGCTCTCCAATGCAGGCCGCACAGCGCCCAGCCTCCTCCGGGAGCGCGCAGCTGGCCCTGGCGGGGCCTGGACACCTGGGGCGGCCCCCCTCCCGGCACCCCGCGGTGTCGCCTTCCCGGGCGGCTCGGGTTCCTGGATCCCCTTACCCGGGCAGCTCGGCTGTCGCGCCCCGGGCCGGGGGAGGGGAGGGAGGCGGCAGGAAGCAGCGGATCCGGCGGTGGCGGCGGCCCGGGTCGCCCAGCTCCTCCGGCCATGGAGAGCGCCGCGGCCCGCGAGGCCCGGGGGGCCGAGGCCCCGCGCCCGCCCGCGCCCGCGCCCGCGCCCGCCGAGCCCCCCGCCGCGCCCCGCGCCCGCCCGCGCCTGGTCTTCCGCACGCAGCTGGCGCACGGCAGCCCCACCGGCAAGATCGAGGGCTTCACCAACGTCCGCGAGCTCTACGCCAAGATCGCCGAGGCCTTCGGGATCGCGCCCACCGAGGTGAGGCCCAGGGACCGCCGCGCCCGAGCCCCGCCGGGCGGACGGGGGGTAAGGCGGGTGGAGCTTGAGCCCTGGCCTGGACCCCCGGGCCCGGGATCTCCGGGACGCACCACTCAGACCCGGCGGTGCCCATGCACCGGGGACGCCCCGTCTGAGCGGCTGCACCGAGGATGAGCGGGTCTAAGGGGTGAGGGAGACCCTAGCTCGTCCGGGAGCTCGCTCCACCCACCAGCTAAGGTGGACCCGGCCCTCGGGGAAGCGCGTCTGCGGCTCCCGGCGCGGCCGGGGGCTGGGGCTCCAGGCAGCACCTTCCCCGGGTTAGATCCGTCGGAGGAGGCCCGGGTGATGGGCTGGGCTGCGGAGCGGTGCGCCTTGCAGCCCCCAGGGGGCGCCGGCGGTCGCAGAATGGCCGGGAATAGATGATGGGGGATCAGGGCACCGAGGGGCTGGAGCTGGAAGTGTTGGGGTGGGGAAGGAGGTCTCTTCCTCCTCGTCCTGCCCCTCATCCTGGGGGCCTGTCTCCTCACCCCACACCCCTGCAGATCCAGCCCGCGGGCTGGGCTCCTAGGCTCCAGGTGGCTGGGCTAGGGTGGGTGCTGGAGCCCATCCCCTCCCGCTCCCAGGCAGTGGGGAGGGAGCGCCGGCATTAACTCTCCCCCCACCCCCGCCCCGGCAGATCTTGTTCTGCACCCTGAACAGCCACAAGGTGGACATGCAGAAGCTCCTGGGCGGCCAGATCGGCCTGGAGGACTTCATCTTCGCGCACGTGCGCGGCGAGACCAAGGAGGTGGAGGTGACGAAGACGGAGGACGCCCTGGGGCTGACCATCACGGACAACGGCGCGGGCTACGCCTTCATCAAGGTGCGCGGTGTGGGGGGGGCGGCTTTCCGGGGCTCCGCCCCTTTGGGGGCGGGGCGAGCTCTGCCCCTCGCAGGTCTGAGTGGGCTCTGCGCGGGGCGGGCCGGGGCGGCCCCTGGAGTGACTCTGGGTCCCCGCAGAGGATCAAGGAGGGCAGCATCATCAACAGGATCGAGGCCGTGTGCGTGGGGGACAGCATCGAGGCCATCAACGACCACTCCATCGTGGGCTGCCGCCACTACGAGGTCGCCAAGATGCTCCGCGAGCTGCCCAAGGCCCAGCCCTTCACCCTGCGCCTGGTGCAGCCCAAGAGGGCCTTCGGTGAGGGCTTGGGGGCAGGTGGGGCGGGGGCAGGGGGTTCCTGGGGAAGTGGGCTCTCTGGATGCGGGGGACAGTGGAGGATGGGGGGGAATGAGGTAGGATGGAAGGTTCTGGATGCGGGGGACAGTGGAGGATGGGGGGGATGGGGTAGGATGGAAGGTTCTGGATGCGGGGGACAGTGGAGGATGGGGGGGATGGGGTAGGATGGAAGGTTCTGGATGCGGGGGACAGTGGAGGATGGGGGGGAATGGGGTAGGATGGAAGGTTCTGGATGCCTCTGGTGCCATGGCAGGGAACAGGTCGGTAGTCTCTATACGGTTACAGTCTAATGGGGATGGGGGAGTTTGGGAAGGTGGAGGAAGGACGTGGAGGTTTTTAGATCTATTGTGTCACTTGGTGGGAGCTTTAAAAGGGCTGCTTTAGAGCTATGAGTGTAAGGGGGCCTTTGAAGGCTAAGAACGTTCTAGAATGTCTCAGCGGGTGGCTTCCCAGGGTTTACAGAGAGTGGATCCGCCCAGAACACGTGCCCCTCCGCCACTCTGTCCCCTCCAGACATGATCAGCCAGAGGAGCCGGAGCAGCAAGTGCCCCGTGGAAGCAAAAGTGGCCAGCGGGCGGGAGACCCTGCGGCTCCGCTCTGGGGGCGCTGCCACAGTAGAGGAAGTGGTGAGTGAGGGGAGAGGGGCCTTCCGGGCCTCGCACCCTGAGTCAGCGTGGCCTAGGGTGAGACCTCCTTCACACAGCGCCAGTTCCCCCCTGCAAAACGGGTCTTCGGGTGAGGCAGGGCAGTGGTGGTTGCACAGAAGCATTGGCACAGGAGTCCCAGCCGGCTGGTACCCAAAGGGTGGAGCCCGGGAGGGGGCTGGGCCGGAGGGGTGTGGTTCTGACCGGCTGCTTTGTCCCCCCACGCCCTAGCCCAGTGAGTTTGAGGAGGAGGCCTCTCGGAGGGTGGATGACCTGCTGGAGAGCTACATGGGCATCCGGGACCCAGAGCTGGGTAAGGGGCCAGGGTAAGCCGGCGGACCCTGGGGGGAGGTAGGGCCCCCAAGGGAAAGCTGGGGTCCCAGCGCCCGCTCACCCACTTTCCTTCCCACCCTGGCAGCGTCCACCATGGTGGAGACGTCCAAGAAGACAGCGAGCGTTCAGGAGTTTGCACGCCGTTTAGACTCCGTCTTGGGCGAGTTCGCCTTCCCGGACGAGTTTGTGGTGGAGGTGTGGGCGGCCATCGGGGAGGCCAGGGAGGCCTGTGGCTAATTTGCTCCGGGGCCGAGCGCAGCCCCAGTCCGGAGCCCAGTCCCCTGCCCCAGCCCTGCAGGCTGGTTCCTGAAGCCCAGCCCTGCTCCAGAGCCCAGCCCAGATCCGAGGCCCAGCCCCCCTCCAGAGCCCAGGTCACCTCTAGAGCCCATTCCAGTCCCGAGACCAAGCCTAGATCTGAGGCCAAGCCCTGCTCTAGACTCCAAGCCAGCTCTGAGGCCAAGTTCATCTCCAGAGCTTCATCTGGTTCTGAGACCCAACCCAGCTCTAGAGCCCAGGCAAGCTCTGAGACCACGTTCAACTCCAGAACCCACACCAGTTCGGAGGCCAAGCCCAGCTCTGAAACGGAACCCGGCTCTAGAACCCAGCTCACTCCCGAGACCAAGCCCAGCTCTGAGAGCAAGCCCTGTCCTCGGTCACAGGCCAGCTCTGAAGCTAGGTTCGTCTCTAGAACACAATCCAGTTCTGAGACCCAACCTAGCTCCAGAACCCAGCCCAGTTCCAAAACCCAGCCCACCTCCAGAACCCAGGACAGCTCGGAGGCCAAGCCGAGCTTTGGCATTAAGTCAAGTTCCGGGACCCAGACAAGTTTTAAGAGCCAGGCCAGCTCTGCGGTCAATGCCAGTATCGGAAGCCAGCCTGGCTCTCTGACCAAGCCCTGCCATAAAACTCAGCCCGACTCTGGAACCCAAGATAGCTCCGTGATACTGCCAGGCCTGGACCCCCCGTTTAGCTCAGGAACACCAGTTAGCTCTGAAACCCAGGTGAGGTTTAAGAATCAGCCCAACTACAGAAGCCACTCCAGCTTAGGATTCAAAGACAGCTCCCAAACTCAACCCTATTCACGGACCCAGACCAGCTCAGGAACCCAGGTGCATGTGGCAGGTCAGCCCAGGTCCCAACCCTGCTCTAAAACTCAGTTTCACTCAAGTCTCCGCCCCCATTCTGGGGCCCAGTTCAGCTCCAGCGAGGAGTCCAGCTCGGAAACTGAGCCCAGCTCTAGATCCCAGCCTAGTGCTACAGCCAGGCCCGTCTCTAGAACTCAAACGAGCCCTGGGACCTCATCCATCTCCGAGGTAAGGCCTGTCTCCACAACCCAGCTTGATGCTGGGTCCCACTCTCACTGCAGTACGAAGACCAGCTCTAGAACCCCTTCCAACTCCGGGGCCCAGACCAGCTTCAAGGACTGGCCAGTTTCCAGAGCCCAATCCAGAGCAGGCACCCAACCCAGCTCTAGAAATCAACTCGGTTCTGGACCTCAGCCTGTCTCTGAAATCTCACCGAGCTCCAACACACAGCCCGGTGCCGATGCCGAGTTGAGTTCCAGAATCCAGCTAAACTCTAGTGCTGGGACCCAGACCAATGCAATGACAGACGTAAGCTCTAAGAGCAGGCCCAGCTCCAGGACCCAGGCCGGCCTGGCTCAGTCAACTTCTGGGACTCAGCTCACCTCTAGAGTCCAGTTCAGCTCTGGGACTCAACTCAACTCTGAAACCCCCACCAGTTCAAGAACACAGCCCAGTTCTGGAACCCACCTAAGTTCTAGAATCCAGCCTATTTCCGGAACTAAGCCCAACTTCAGAACCCAGACAAGTGCTGGAGGCCAGCTTGGTTCTGAGACCAAGCCCAGTTCTGGGGCCCAGACCAGTGCAAGAATTCAACCCAGCTCTGGAGCTCAGCTCAGCTCTAGAACCCAGTCTAGCTCTGAGACCTGGCTGAGCTCTGAAACTCAGCTCGGCTCCAGAACCCATCTTAGTACCAGGAACCAGGTGAGCTCTGAGAGCCAGCCCAGCTCTGGCACCCAGACCAGTTCCAGAACCCAGACCAGTTTTGGAACCCAGCTCAGATCAGAGACTCAGCCCAGCTCAGACACCCAGCCCAGCTCTAGAGCCCTGACCAGTGCAAGAATCCAGCCCAGCTCTGGAGCCCAGCTCAGTTCCAGATCCCAGCCCAGCTCTAGGACTCAGTTCAGCTCTGAGACTCAACCCAGTTCTGAAACTCAGGCCAGCTCAAGAATACAGCCCAGCTCTGGAACTCAACTCAGTTCCAGAACCCAGCCTGTCTCTGGAACCCAAGCCAGTTCCAGAACCCAGGCCGGTTTTGGAACCCAGCTCAGATCGGAGACCCAGCCCAGCTCAGACCCCCAGCCCAGCGCTGGAGCCCAGCTCAGTTCCAGAACCCAGCCCAGCTCTAGGACTCAGTTCAGCTCTGAGAACCAGCCCTGTTCGGAAATCCAGCCTGGTTTTAGGACCGAGCCCCACTCTGGAATCCACCATAGTTCTAGAAGCCAGCCTGTTTCTGAAACCCAACCCAGCTCCAGAACCCAGACCAACTTAGGAGTCCAGCTCAGCTCTAGGAAGGGGCCTCGCCCCCAGACCCCTGGCCTTGACCCTGGAACCCAGTCTGATCCCACTCCTCCAGCCCGACCTCAGCCCCCAGACCCACCACCAAGAGCCCCAACGCCGGCCCCCAGCAAAGTCTCCCAGCCTCAACCTCAGCCCGATGATCTGGTACGTGGAGCCCAGGCCAACACCGACAGAAGCCTACCGACACCCCACCGGGCCCCAAAGCCACAGGCCCCCTTGACTCGCCAGAAACCAGCCCTTCTACCTAAGCCCCAGCTGGGACCCCATAAGTCCATGCCACCCACCACATCTGTCACCCCTAGTGCTGCCTCCAGGGTGGCCCTCCTTCGGGCCCAGCTCCTTGAGTCCTCAGCTCAGGAGCCTGCCCACTCCCCCATGCGCAGGGAGCCAGGAACTGCTCTGCAGGGGTCCGAGCCCCTCCCCCACCACAAGGAGCCATAGTTTAGGGGTGACATCGTTTTTGGCCAGTGCTGGGCCCCATCCCCTCTCCTTCTCTTCCCAGCTCTGGTCCCCCATAACGGCAGGTGACCTCATTCCCCCACAGGTCGGGGGAGGGAGGATGGAAACGGGCTTCGGTTTCCTTGGGCCTGGCCCCGGAGGTGTAAGCAGATCCCGGGGCTGGGGAAGGGAAGGGGGAGAGGGAGGGGCACGGTGGTTCGCTCTTCCTGTACCATGAGGGCTCATGGGAAATAAAGGCAAGTCCCACCCCGCGGCCAGGTGTGTTGTGTTTGAGGGAGGGAGGTTTGGGGAGAGCAGAGGCAGGGCGGGCATGAGGTCTGGGGGCACCTATCACAACACTGGGTGCTTCTTAAGCAACTACTCTGCGCCAGGTCCTTTACCAGTACTCGCTGTGCCTGGGTCCGTGCATTCATTCACACGCATGACATTCCTCGAAACCTCAGTCATTCGTTCATACAATCCATCTCCTTTCAGCACCTATTGTGGGCCAAGTGCTGTGTGTTCAAGACACTGGGAGTCTGCGTGTTAAGCGAGCGGGCAGCCAAATGATAAGCTTGTGAGGAAGCGACTCCAGCTTAGGAGGGAGGAAGTGGGCGTCACTCCACAGCCTTGCGTGTGTCTCCCACGCTTTTCCGAGTTGCAGGATGGATTTAATACCAGAGCCCTCTCTAGGGGCTCTCAGGAGGGTTCCGGAAGATTGGACTCGATAAGGAGGGGGGAGAGGAGCCAAACAAAGCCCCGTCTCACCCCCTCTGCCCGTCCCCGTCCTCTCCGGGGGCCACGGGGTGGGGGACAATCGGATGCACCGAACACTTCACCAAGTGACGACCGACTTCCAGACCCGAAGGAAGATACAGCCGGGCTGAGATCTGTTTTGGCAAGAGACGGGGCGTCCTGCCCGTTTATATCGAACCTTTTCTAGCCGGCGCCTTCGCAGGCTGTGGTGTCAAAGGGGAACAAGCGTACCCCAGTCAGTGATCAGAACCCCCCCCCGCCACCCCCCGCCCCGTTTCCTGAGGACTTCTGGAAGGGGAGGCTTACAAGTTTAATTGTCTCCAGATACCCCTCCCTACACCCCCACTCGCCCATCCTGACGTGGGGAGGGGCCTGCGAGGACAGAAAGGCCTTGGAAAAGGGGGTCAGGGGAGCATTGGGGAGCCCCAGGGCTGACGGAAGACAGCTCACAATCCTGCCACTCAAACTGGCTCTGCCGCTCTCCCAGTGCCCGGACCTCGGCGTGGGCAGCTGTGAGGGTCGGGGAGGACCGAGGTCGAGTGGCCGCTGTCCTTCCAGAGCTGCCACTGCGGCCTCCCGGGCCCTAAGCCACGGTGGGCCTCCGGGAGAGCTGGGGCTGCAGGGAGAGCGACCGGGAGCGGGCGCTGAGGCCGGGCTGCAGCCTCCGGATCACGGCCCGGCGGAACAGGATGTACACCCAGGGGTCCAGGATCTGGTTCCAGGTGGCCACGCGCAGGTAGATGAGCAGCTGCTTTTCCGTGGCGCGGGACAGCTGCCCGGCGGGGTCCATGGCCGGCGGGCTCCGCAGCACCGTCTGGGCGATGAAGACCTGCCAAGGCACAGCGGTCACCCCGGAGCCAGGCCGGCCCCAGCCCGCCCTCCGCGGCTCCTCGGGCCCGAGGTCTGGTGCTGAGCCTGCTGCTGGGCTGCGTGGCCTGGAGAGCTGCCTGACCCGCTGGGCTCAGTGATGTGGCCACACAGTGAGCACTTCTCCCGCTCCTCTCCGGCAGCTACGTGGAAAGTGAGGTTTGCGGGGTGAGCCGTTGGAATTACTGTCACAGCCAGCACTTTATCCTATTAAATAGTTTATAAACATTTCATATTATGCTATAAAACTATAGCATAAAATTATATCTAGCCTTAGCTTGTTTGGCTCAGTGGATAGGGTGTCAGTCTGTGGACTGAAGGGTCCCAGGTTCGATTCCAGCTAAGGGCACAGGCCCGGGCTGCAGGCTCCATCCCCAGTGGGGGGGGTGCAGGAGGCAGCCCATCAGCGATTCTCTCTCCTCATTGGTGTTTCTATCTCTTTCCTTCTCCCTTCCTTTCTAGAAAAAAACTGTATATAAAATAACCTATTTCATATTTTATTTTAAAGGATTTAAGATAATTTATGTTTTATAAAATGTTGACATAATTTTATATTACATAATATATCATGTTATTTACTATTATAATATAATAATTATCTAATAATTAATATGTTGTTGATTATAATTAGTTATATATTAGTTAAAAATTAGACATACTTATATAATGGTATATTATATTATATATAATTGATATAACTATTAAGTATTAATACATAGTAATATATAGTTATATAAGTACTTAACAATTACATAATATACAATATGTAATCATAATATTATATAATTGATCTGATTAAGTATTCATTATAATACAATGTAATTAACTATAATGTATAAATTTTATAATTAAAATTATATATTGTTAAATAAAATTAATATATTTTTATTGATTTTTTTTTTTTTTTTTTACAGAGAGGAAGAGAGAGGGATAGAGAGTTAGAAACATTGATGAGAGAGTATCATCGATCAGCTGCCTTTTTGCACACCCCCTACCGGGGATGTGCCCACAACCAATGTACATGCCCTTGACGGGAATCAAATTGGGGACCCTTCAGTCCACAGGCTGATTCTCTACCCACTGAGCCAAACCGGTTTTGGCTATAATTCATATTGTAGTAAATGCATTGTGTTAAAATTATATTATATGAAAATCCTATTAAAATGGTTCCCTGAGCCGAAACCGATTTGGCTCAGTGGATAGAGCGTCAGCCTGCAGACTGAGAGTCGGGGCATGTGCCTTGGTTGCGGGCACATCCCCAGTGGGGGGTGTGCAGGAGGCAGCTGATCGATGATTCTCTCTCATCGATGTTTCTAACTATCCCTCTCTCTTCCTCTCTGTAAAAAATCAATAAAATATACTTAAAAAATAAAGTAAAATAAAATAAAATAAAATAAAATAAAGTAAAGTAAAATAAAATAAAATAAAATAAAGTAAAATAAAATAAAATAAAATAAAATAAAATAAAATAAATAAAATGGTTCCCTGAGCATTACTTGTGCTGGACAAGGCTGGGGACCGGCCGGGGACAGGACAGCTAGCCCCGCCCCCACTGGGGCCTCTGTGTCCTGCTCAGAGCTCCTCCGGGAAGGCACCTCGCAGGGACGGGACCCCCATTTCCCGGGGGATGGGACCCTGGCATGCACCGGATGAGCTGAGGCCCGTCACCCAGGACGGCGGGAACCGGGCAGACCCGCCCCGGCACTCACCAGCAGCGGCATCCAGCAGACGCTGGCCACCACCATGATGCCCGTGAGCTGGGCCATCATCTCCACCTCGCAGTCCCGCGGGCGCTGCTGGGCGGCCTCCTGCCCGTGGTAGACGTGGCACAGGGTGGCCACGCTGATGGTGTTGAGCAGGAAGGACAGCCCCACCGAGAGGCTGCCCAGCAGCGCGAAGAGCAGGCCGAAGGCCGCGTCGCCGGGCGCGGGGCCCAGGGTGAGGAAGCACCAGGAGCCCGGGTACTGCAGGGTGTAGCGGCCCAGGCCCAGCATGGGCAGCAGGCCCAGCGCCAGCGCCGCGGCCCACACCAGCGCCACGGTGGTCCAGGCGCGGCGGCGGGAGGCGGCCGCGGGCCGCGAGAAGGGCCGCGTGATGCCCAGGTAGCGCTCCGAGGCCATGGCGGCCCCCAGCAGCAGCGGGCTCAGGCCGAAGAAGACCATGGCGACACCCATGAAGCGGCAGAGGCGGCAGCTGGGGTCCACGGCGGGCCAGTCGAAGAGCATGGCGTGCTGGGACACCACGATGGCCCCGGTGATCAGCAGCCCCATGAAGTCCGTGAGGACCAGGCCGCAGAGGAAGGTGAGGAAGGAGGACCTCACGGGCGAGCCGCCCTGCCGCGCGCCGGCCAGCACCCACAGGGCCAGCAGGTTGGAGGCCAGGCCCACGAGGCAGAAGGAGGCGGGGAACCAGGGCGAGGCAATCAGGCGCCGCTCCTCCAGGGTGATGTTCATTGGCCGGAAGCAGGGGCCCCGGGCACTGTCATTGGCCCACAT